CAGGCAGATAGACGAAGTACACTGCTGAGGGGAGCAGCGGGCGGGTCAGGAGAGGTCTGCCACGCCATGTGGTCACCTCCGGGGCAGGCGGGAATTGAACTCATGGGAAGTGGCTTCAGCTTCTCAGTGCTGTGCTTTAACCCGCTGCACCACCAGGGAGGGCCCTTAGTTATTTTTAAATACACTACAGAATATATGTTCAGTGGGTACTACTTATTTATTTTTAAAAAATGAAATATTGCCTTGAAGAATAAAATGTAGGATATTGAAGTAATTATTCTAAGTGAAGCAAATGAAAAGACAGTGAATGGTTTTATATTTATGGAATATAAATAACTAAAGAAAACAAACTGGCAAAGTATGGGAAAAAGAATATAAAACTCTATTAAAAATATATTGGTTATCAGTGGGAAAGGCATATTAGAATTGTTTGAACACTTACAGGGGAGTTTTTTGGGAGAGCAAGTGATTTATGTGTATATATGGTATTGAGAAAAGGTACTCTCACAAATGATATGGTTATGTAAATGACTTAACAAATTTTAAAAAATCAGGAAAAAATAAAGTAACATTGCATCATAACATTAGAAAAGCTACAGATGTAGGAGAGTTTTAAGAAAAACACTTATTATAAAATTCATTTGGGAATGTATATGAGATCCACAGTCAAGTATGTTTTCTGATATACCATCTCTTACAGTAACTTAACTTCCTCAAAACTGTACAGGAGCTTACACTGGTCACCGACCACATGAATATGCAAATAGCTTAGTTTCATCAACAAGGTGGTTGGGTTTCCACGAAAGAGGTGTCAGAGAGGTCAAAGGCATTACTGTAGTTACTTTCCCTAGAGGCTTGAGATCCATCTAGAGGAATCCCTTCCCCAATCCCAACACTTACAAATGTTAGTGTAATGGGATAAAAACCTTTTCCCCTTTAAATTGGACAGATATCCTATTTTATTCTAAATTATCAGATCTTAAATAACTTTCTTCTCACTAGAATTTCCAGGGAAATTTAAAGACATAATTTGAACGCAATGGCTGAAGGATATTTGTGGCTTCTTTACTATTGTACCTTGGAAGAAAACTTGTGATTGAAAAATGGTGTGTTGTCTTCAGCGAAAGGAAAAATTGGAGAGAACAGGGTAAGGAGAGAATAGTCAGGGATGGTTCTAGCAGCCCCAGTGGAAACTGGTGGCAGCTGTAAAAAGAACACTGCTGCTACATCCCTCTGGATTTTTCTCCTATCTCTTCCTTCTCCCTCTGTAATTCCTACCAATCAATAAAATTTACAGTACCTTAACTCTTCCTCAAAGCTGTAGGCCACTCCCTTGTACAAAAGCTTACACTGGTCACCTACCAAATTAATATGCAAACAGCTTAGTTTATTTTAAATTCCTTGACCAAACATAAAACAAAATTGGGACAAGTAGTTACCAACATCAATTATTAATCACATAGCCCATGGCAGATTTGCTCATTGAACAAAGTTTAATCAGGCTCCTCTGAACCTGCTTCTAACTGGAGTTAGACCTTTGGACTTTCATGTCTGTCTTTGCATAGCCCAACTTTAACAAAAATCTCACTAAATTTAGTGAGAGTCCCTACCCAATCGAATTTCTCATCCCTTATTATCTTATCAGCCATATTGGCCTATCTTTAACAAGAATCTTGTCAAATCAGTCCAGTAAGAATCCCTCTAATACTCCAAATGTTTCCTCTCAGTACTCTTATGACTACCGGCCCCTAGCCTGCCCCTTGGCTTCAAATTCTCACTTGCCTATGTTAGAATTTGGAATTGAACTTACTTTTATACTGAGCTTTTTCTTTTTAAACTCAGAATAGCTCTTCTGCCAATATCAAATAGAACCAATATTTTTGAATTGTAATTATTAAGTGCAAATTGGAGAGACCACCGTACTATGTTTTAATCATCAAATATTTCACACTCACTTAAAGCAAGTTATAAAAAAAAAATTAGATACAGAACATCCTGGCTCAAGAATGGTATGGATAACAAAAGAAACAATATATCAAATGTTATAAATTTCATAAAATCTCATTATTTTTATCTTTTTTTTTAAGATTTAAGTTCATCTATTTGCCTTCATCAGTGACCTCACAGTTGCTGAACTGGTTAAACCTCCAATGGCAAGTGGACAGTAGGCACAAACTAAGAGGGAGACAGTTACAGAAGCAAGATTCTAATATAAGCTTTAAAGAAAACCCACTAGGACTGCCAATGAAATGAGAGCACATTTTCCTGGGTCTCTGCTTAAAGTAAGTTGAATCTGATAACATGAGCAACAAGTTCAGACAAGCCAAACACTGCAAGCATAAACAGCTTTGTTGGCTCTTAACGGATGCCTCCTCCTTGATCTCATATCATATCTCCAGTCAAGCTTCTGAGTACTTTACAAATTGGAATCATGACATGTCACTTGCTGTTAATATCCTTTGGTTTTTCTACATTGCCTAATAATACCCAGCTCTTTCATCTACTTTCTCAGATTCACCTTCCTGATTTTTTCAGCATTGACCCTAAGGAACTCACCAGGTAGTTTCTTACTTCTCTTCTCATGCAAATCCTTTACCAGGAAAGCCTTTACACAGCCAACCTATTCTTCAATATCTGGGTTACAAGACTTCTCTGAGCCCATCTCCATATTTTCAAAGACCTATCTTTTTATTGCACCTAACTATTAGTAGTGGCTTTATCATTATTTTTTGAATTCCAAGTCATCCTGTGTAGTTTTGTTTGTTTGGGGGTGAGGGTGAAATAAAATTCCTTACGGGCTCTCCCTGGTGGCGCAGCAGGTTAAAGCACAGCACTAAGAAGCTAAAGCCACTTCAGCATGAGTTCAATCACTGCCCCGGAGGTGACCCACATGGCATGGCAGACCTCTCCTGACCCCTTATGCTCTCCACTGTCTCTCACTACTCCTGCACCTCTGGCCTGTACCCCAGTTCTGTATACATAAACAAATCTTTAAAAAAAAAATCCTTACAGCAGAGAAAAATGTTCAAGACCCCATTACAGTGTTTCAGAGCATGATGGGGTTTAAAGAAAAATGTTTGCTTTTTACTAATCTCGTGATTCCAATACACTAATGAAAGCAAGTATGGCAATACACATCTGACAGGGTTGTTTGGAAGAGTAAATGAAATCAGGTATATAAAGCATTTAGCTCAGCTCAGCCAGTGTGAGTTCTCGCCTCATCCCCAATACCCATGCCCCCACTCCCAAATATCACACTCAACACAGCTTGTGAAAAGAAGCAAAATCTGGTCCACTCAGAAATTTAATTATGAGAACAAAGGTCAATTTATGGTAAATGAAACTAGGATCTTGTCTTGGAAGTGCTATGTTGATTTCTCCTCTCACTTCTTTGAGCAGTATCTCTGGATTTCTTCTGCAAGCCCCAGGCAGTGCAGGATGCGCTTCTTTTCGGCAGCCAGCTCCTTTTCAGAGAATTTACCCAAGAGTTTCTGGACAAATATATTTTGATCTTTCAGGAAAATATTCTTATTGACTCCAACATTTGGCATAGTCTCCAGAGATCCAGATTTGAAATGGAAGCTTAAATGTCTGTTTCGTTTTAGGCCAGGTCCTTTCTCTTCAATCCATGTCAATGGACTGTGAAGACAAAGGAAGCAGTGTTAGAGACTACCCAGAAGCATAAATGGATGCTTGCTGCCTCCTGACTGCCTAATAAAATATTTTGCACATAAATTCCCTCTCAGCTGCAATTACTGTGGTGTCTTTTATGGAATCTTGATCAAAGTCCTTACCAACCTCTGAAAGTTGTGGGTAATGGTTGCCAACCTTTATGCCCAAGTCCTTTATTTAATTTTTTCACAGTTACAAAAACTCATTACATGGTTTTTGCATGAATACCAGCTCTCTATTCAGGAATTTTTACCTTGTCTCTGTAGGGAGAGCCAGGTAAAGTTGAGATTATATGCAAACTGTCATTTCTTTATGTAGGTGCACTTTTGTGGAAAAAATTATTTCATTACATCTTCAAAGTGTTTGACCTCAAGCACATGCCAGAACATACCAGATTCCCTTTGCTGATAAACAATGCATCTATTTCCATGTCAAACTTGCTCCCAGACTCATGTCATCACTCACAAAAATCTATACTATCCTTCTCTATAGTCTCTTTCTTTGGACTTACCTTTCTGCCTTTATAGTAGATCACAGATGTTATCTGCTTAATGAAAAATAGATCTCTCTGAAGTAGATTTTGACCAAAGAGCTTGAGTAATACAACAAGAAAAATATAAAATCTGCTTTAAAAATAATAAAGCATTGATTTAAGGGTTATTTAAATGAAAGGAAAAAAGCACCATAATTTCTTCACCTAAATAAAAGTATTTTTGGTTTGAGGCAATTATTTTAAATATTTCATGGCATGTAAATCGTTAACAATGTTGAATATGATGCTTTTACTTGTTTTTAGTTTTGTAATTCTACACAGTATGATTTATCTATAATATCATGTGTAATTTATTATATAGTTTATTTAATATTTTATTGTTGCCACAAATTTTAGCTCTAATTATTAATATGGTTATCCTATACTTAACAGCTCCATGCATATATACATATAGTTTTCCATCCTTCCTTTTCTAGAACAGAACTTCAGGACTGTGGTGATTTAGCAAATACTTGTTACATCCCACTCCATTTTCTTTTCCTATAGGGGTGAGTGTGATTCAAGAACAAGGCAATTTTATTGATTACTGTTAAAAGTGATATAGCTCCCAGTGTGAAAAGGGTGAGTGTTAAATCCTGAGCATGCAATAGGGACTGACCTGTGTACAGGTCTGACCATGACTGCAATTCTAACCTTCACTTAGCATTATAATGATGAACACATCATTATAATGATGAATACATAGATTACTTCCAAGTTATACTTAAAATGAACATAGATGGGGCTTACTTCAAGTATTTTTCTCCTATATTTTAAATACCCATGGTCTGTTTCTTTTATTACTATTAACTAAAAGCAGCAATTATAAGTATACCTCTCTCCCTAATTTCAACTAAGGGCACAAGTCATAAAGTCAAGACAGAGCGGGACTGGTTTTGTGACAAAATGTGTCAACATCATCAAAAAAGATGCTTCTGGGCAAATGAGAATTTCCAAAGATCAACAGACTTTAAGGTTTATAGCAACTGCTGAAACATGTTTCTATTAGATAAGGCTCTAAATGGACAGGGTAAATTCTAACAATGCCCTTTGTTTTCCTTAATGCACAGACACCTATTCAATAAAAAACATTAAATGGATATTCAACCAGTCCTCCAACCCAAATTCCTTAACTTTACAGATATCCTTAAAAGTAATTGAATATTGGCCCTCCCTGATGGTGCAACAGGTTAGGCCACAGCACAGCAAACTAGCCACAGCTGCTTCAGTGTCAGTTTAATCCCCCACCCAGGAAGAGGCTTAGCAGTCCTCTCTCCTGTCTTGCCCGCTGCTCCCCTCAGCAGTGTACTTTGCCAATCTGCCTACTCTGCTTTGCACTCTGTCTCTGGTGAGTCCTCCCACAGTCCCTGTACCTCTGACCTATACCCAGTTCTGTATGTATAAATAAATCTTAAAAAAAAAAGTAACTATATAAACCTAATTTGGTGTGATTCCCTAGAGCTATTTGGAAGTTATTTCCAGGCTCAAATCCTCACTTCTTTTTTTTCATTTCAGATTCTTTTCATTCTTTCTTTGTGAGCCTAGCTAGAGTTTTATGTTTTTTTTTAATTATATTTATTTTTACATTATTTTGTGCCTTTGTCCATCTCAATTGTAATCCCCATGGGCTTCCCATCACCAAATCACCTGTGTGCCATCACACCATAGAGCAATGCATTCCCCGCCCCCCACTGTTTTTTGATCCCCATAAAATGTCTCTGGTATATAGCTGTTCATTATTATTGTTATTTTCTCTGCTGGTCCACTAAACTGCTGCTATGAGTGAAACCATCTGGTATTTTTGCTTTTCTTTCTATCGTATTTTACTAAGCATAATCTTTTCCAGCTCCAACCAAGATGCTGCAAAAGGCATGTGTTTACTTATTTATTTTTTAGTTGTTGACTGATAGTCCACTGTGTATATGTACCAGTTTTTTAATCCAGTCATCCACTTTTGGGCATTTGGGTTGTTTCCATGTCTTTCTAATTGTAAATAAAGCATCAATAAACATGGGGGTGCAGGTATCTTTTTGAATCAGTGTCTGTGTATCACTCTTAATTCTTTAATGAACTCACATAATTATGCCTGTTTCAATTTATTTTTATTTAACACTACCAAAAGACACACTTATCTGGAAAAACATATAGAAATACACTTTACAAATATTTTACAAAACCCAAATTCTTTCTAAGAAAAATTGTGAATGTGATTTTATTGTAAAATATTTGGTATATGAAATATAAAGAGTGAGAATTTTGGCAACAATATGAAAATGTGATGTTTAAAGCTAATGAGTAGAACGTAAGTTTTGAGGAGTGGGTATTTGGAGCTGTGATAAATAAGCAAGGTAAAATGTTAATGGCAGAATCTAGGTGGTACTTGTAGGGATGTTGACTGCAAACTATTTTACTTTGCCATGTCTAAAACTTTCATAATAAAATGTCAGGAAAAATTCATGTCATAGAAGTAAATGGACTCCTACTACTGCATCTGATAATACACATTTGTGCAGCTTAGTCACATTTTTAAATCTCTATTAGCTATTGTCAAAGGGGATCATGCTTGTATTATTTACCTTACAGAGCTGCTGTGAAAATAAAATGAGGCAACACAGTGAAATTTCAGTAATGATCTGCTGAAAGTGGGTCAAGGCCTTTTGGGGTTCCTCATATTTACCCTCATGAATACAAGAGGATATCAGTGCATTTCCTTTTCCTCAAAGTATCTCAGGACCTACCGTTTATCCTCTGTCTCCAAACATACAGTCATTTTCATATACTGATTCTCCTTTTGCTCTTCCAAAGTAGCAGACACAACAGAAAGCTCCCCAAAAAGGGACACCAACCAGGTCAGGCGAGAAATACCACTGAATGCGGGGAAACCAAACCGCTCTTCTTCCAAAGGGCCAGCTGTATAGAATCACAAACACTTTGGGAATTTGGGAGTAAGAGATGGCAGCTGGGGGCAGGGGACATGGTAGGTAATAAAGGCAGTGAAAAGACATGACTGGGTGATCAGTACAATGCATCTTGCCTTGTATAGGATATGCAAAATAACTATTAACAATGATGAAACTCCCTGTATTTTTGAAACTCCCTGTATTTTTGTAAATTCTTGGGTAAAGCTGTCTCCTGTTTGTGTGTGTGTGTTTATTAAATTCAGTAAAATAAAATATTTTATTAGAAGTAGCAGTTTTTAAAGCTAAACAGAATGTGTGTGTGTGTTCATAGGTGTGTATAAACACTTGTATTTAATTAACAAAATCTGATCAATGATTAGCTATTTAACAAAATCTTTTAAAAGAATTACTTAATTTAAAAGAATCACACACATAATCACCATTAAAAAAGAAGAATCAATGTATTTTTGTCCATCAAGTCCATAAATACCAAATCTATGTATGTGGCAATAGAGTGATGATATGATAGTTATGAAGACAATAATAACAGTACAAATTGCCAATATCAATAAAATTATTTAAAAGTATTTTTGTAGACCTCACAATCTCATATAAAAAACACATTTTAAAGCATATGTGTAAGAAATCTTTGGACAAGTTACTGGTCACATATGACTCCAGTCCAACCTTTACCATAATCTATAAATTTAAAAGATTTTGTACATGTTATATTGTTCTATAAACCAAAAATTTCTTATTACTTTGATATTGACTTGAGGCAATTCATAGTTATGAGTATTTTCTAAAAACTATGGGGACTATAACTTTTGGAAGAAATCAAATACTGTACAAAAACAACAAGGAAATAAAATATTTACAAATGAAAAAATAAAAAAAAATGTAATAAATAAAAACAAAGAAAAATTCTAAGTTTTCATGGACAACCTGGTTTGAAATCACTAGAATCTAAGTATCAAACTTATAAAAGAAAAGCAGTTCTTTCTGAGCTGGTTACAATTTGTTGTTGTTCTTTGGAGACAGCAATTATCAAAGCTTGAGCCACGTTTTCAATCTGGTGCTACCATATAATTGATGTGTCAGTTGTGAAGCTATACTTTTAAAAACCCTATATAGTGGTGGCAGTAACTATCCAGCATCAATACATGAATGAACATGAAATAATGCATATCAACCATTTAGCACAGTTCCTTATCCATATTTGTTGTCACAATTTTTACTGTATCATATTAAAGGATGAAAATGGATCTTGAAGTTTTACTGTATTTTCTAAAAACTCATGGTAAAATGAATAGCTATATTTTCTAAAACATCATGGTAAAATGAATGGCTTTATTAATTAATAATGCCAGGGCATTCTTTTAGGGCTTTCTTTTTTATAATGAAAGTCTTCAGGAAAGGAGGCCGAGATACTCTAGATACAGCCAGATTTCTTTTTAAAAACTCCACTCAAGGACATACTGTAAATGGAGGAGGCTGCAGGATGTTCATTGCCAATTACTAATGAGACTCTTCAAAGAATTGCCAACACAAAGTAAACAACCAAAACAGATCAATATTTGGTGATAGTTAATGTTCTTAGTGTTTGCTACACAAAGAAGTATATATAAATTTGTCTTCTTCAAGCAACTGCCTTACTCCTTTTTTGAAAAAGAGATCTCATCTTCAGCCTCTTCAGTAAAAATAATCATTAACTTGCTAAGAATTCATGAGGGAAAATTCTACCCAATAGATTGCCACAGAAATACAAACATGCTTGTATTTCTATATACATTTTTACCCAAGATTCACTAACCAATTACATCTTATTTGGAAAAAAAATAAAAATAGTTATTTGTTGTTCATAGAAGTGTGAGAGAATAAAATTAAATTGGCCTTCAGTAATAGTCTTCAGAAGAAATTAATCCAAGCTCATTAAGAATCTTGCTGAACTTATAGCTTCACCAGTTACATCTGACCTGTGATTTCTCCTAAAACTGACCTGTGAAGAGAAGAGACCCTTTCAGTAGGTCTTTCCCCACCACTTCTTTTTTAAGGAATGCAAACTCTTCCATCAATAGTTCAACATGCTCCTCATGTAATACTTTTCCTGTCGTGACAAAAAATGGAGTAAAAAGAGCAGTTAGGTTTCTCTTCCTTCAGCATAAAAGGACAAACAGACCTTGGCACCACCCTAGGCACTACTATACCTTCAGATATTCCAGTTAAAGGTGGTACCAGTTCTAAACATACCACATTAAGTGAAAATCTAAGAAAACAAGACAGCGTCCACATACCCCAACAGCAAGATGAAATCAGGGACGTTTAAGGGCTAATACTACACAGAAGAGGATATGGCAGCATAAAAGTTAAAGAAACATAGAGAAGGAAAGTGATTGTTAGGACTGGAGAGGAGTTCTTTATTTCAAATAATTGGAAGAACTAGATGCTTTTTATATAAATGATCCAGGTTGTGAGGAGGATCAAACGTTAATGTTCATAACTAACATTTTGAATTCTAAGGAAAAGTTGTGAAAATATTTTGTTCTGTTAACTTTTTTATATCTAGAAAAAAGAATCATAAAATACCAAAATTATTTTGTGATTAGATGCAAAGTGAGGTTATGATGTAAAGTTTCACTGAAACACAGAGAAATCTAGACCATGGAAAGATGCTCTTGGGATATAATAACAACTGTAATAACCTCTGCAGAAAGGGCTGAGCTTTTTCTGCACCTCATGAGCAGCTACTATATCCCATGAGTAACCAGAGAAGTAGGTGTGTGGGAGAGTGACTCCCCCTAGCCTAGCCCATGAATATGGCAAATTCTTTTAAGATTAAGTAGAAGTGACTCTCTCTGGATGTTTCCAGACATATTTGTGTATCTATGAGGGCATGTGGAAAAACCGGGATCTTGTTTCAGAGCACATTGTGTTCTTTTTAGCATTACTTACATTCACATTAATGGTCATTAAAAAATTTGTCTTTGTACTTCATGTTGATTGTTTATGTACTACTTAATGTTTTATTGTAATAAAAACAATGGCAATGATGTCATGTCTATATATGAACACATACATATATACATAAGCACACAAATCCATGTATATGTACATAATTCTTCACTGAAATGATTTTCAAAAGAAATGAATATGCCAGGCATATGGATTTCAATATCAAAATACCACCAACTGTACTGTTGGAGGGAAAGTAAGCTGATGTAGTATGGAGGCACCTTAAAAGAATAAAAACATAACTATCATGTTCCAGTAATTACACTTCTAGGTATTTATCGCAAGGAAATGAAAACATTACTCTGTGTGTATGTGTGTGTGTGTGTTCAACAGCACTATTTACGAAACATTTGCCATGACATGGAGGCAACCTAAGTGTCCATCAGTAGATGAATGAATAAAGTAAATGTCATTTTCTGTATCTATCTACATATCTATCAGTCTTTTTCTGACTGACTTCATTTAACAGAATTCCCTCTAGCTTCATCCACGCCACAAATGACAAGATAGGTCAGTTGATAAGTAGAGATCGATTCTATATGATATAAATACTATGTGGAATCTGAGAAAAATACTTAGATATAACAAATTAATGGTTTCCAGAGCTAGGGGTAGGAGAAGATAAAATGGAAAAGGCACAAATTTCCAGTTATAAAATGAATAAGTAAGTCCTGGGTTGTAATGTGCATCATGGTAACTATAGTTAATAACGCTGTATTTTATATTTCAAAGTTTTTGAGATATTTTAAAAGTTTTCATCATAAGAAAAAAACTCTATGGTGAGACATGTTAAATAAACTTACTGTAAAACTAAAAAATCATTATGTTGTATCACTCAAACTAATAAGTTATACCGCAATTAAGAATTATTTCAATTGAAAGATTACAAGGACTCTGGAGTAATGATTACTTCCAGGACTAAGGCAGAGAATGCATATAATGAAAATAAACCATGCCAGGAAACAAGGAATTGCTCAAAGAATAATGGAAACATAAGAAAATAACATGAGACTCGGCATAAAGAATCACTAACCATATAGAAAACAATTTGAAAATGATTTCTAATTCACTGTGAAGTCTAAAATGAAGTCATGAATCCATACTGATACAAAGTAATGAATTAACATAAACTGTGATAAATAAAAAATATTTACTAAGCTTCAAATTCTCTTCTATGCAAAAAAAAAAATTAATTACAAGGGGGAAAAATAAATTTCAGTGGAGAAACTTTGTAGACATCCCCTTGCTCCAGGGATATGATTAGGGATACCGGACAAACTGAAACTGATACCACCTGATAGAATGAAATGCCAAGAACAAGGCATCATCTGTGTGATGATTCCTAAAAAGGATGCATACTCCGTTAATGAAAAAATATCAAAATATCAAACAAAATAATTGACCTTTAGTCCTCCTGAGTACTTTGGAAAATTCTATAGAACTTGTATGTCCACAGAGAGACTAAATGTGGTATGTCCACTGAAAACAATACATGATTGTAAATATAGTCATTTTGCCATAAAGAATGTTAGGAAAGCACTATTAAGAAAACGGAAAAAAACTGAATGGCCCTGAGTATCAGATCATGGTATACAATGTTAACTTCCTAAAATGAACAATCTTAATTTAATAAATCTTACTCCTAAAATATGGCTTTCATATTTTAATTGAGAAATAGGCAAAATTGGCAAGTATATTTGTGTATTTAAAGTCTACAATGTATTAATTATATATATATATATATATATAATATACACACACACACAAAGTGTGGAATAACTACTAACATAACTCACAAATCCATCACTCACATTTCATTTACTTTGCATATGTAATAAATGTTTCAGAGATACTTTCAACAACTTTCAAGTATACAATGCCATGTGAACTGTAATTACCATGCTGCACATTAGATTCTATTACATGTAAAACTGTACCATTTGACCTATTTCCTATCACCCTGTTTCCCTTCAGGCCTCTGGCAACTACAATTCTATTCTTTTTCTATGAAATCAACTTTTAAAAGATTCCACACATAGTAGAAACAACACAATACTTGTTTCTCTTTCTGACTTATTTACATAGAATTATGAACCTCAGGTTAATTCAAATTGTCCCAAAAAGCAGGACTTTCTTCTTTTTATATCTGAATATTCCATATGCCACATTTTCTTCATCCATCCATTCTTTTTTTTCCTTTCTCAATAAGTTTATTTCTTAAATCTATTTGTCATCCATTCATTCTTTGAAGGACATGTAGGTTGTTTCTATACCTTCATTCTAACAAGACAATCCATACATTATTTCAGTATATAAAGTATACTGATTTTAATTCCATTTGATAAATACAAATTCCATTTGATAAATTTTGATTGTTAGACCATATGACAGTTTTTGTATTTTTTAAGATCCACCATACTGTTTGCCACAATGACTGCATGCACACCAACATTGCACCAGGATGCCCTTTTCTCCATTTCATCACTAGTCTTTTCTTTTTAGTAACAGCCTAGAATTCTAACAGATGTAATTCATTGTGGTTTTGATTTTCATATCCCTAATAATTAACAAAGTATTTGACTACTTAGTCAAATATAAGATGTATATGCATATATTTATAACTGTTATAACTATACTCATTATTGGTCTGTTCACTTTTTATACTACTTCATGATTTAGTTTTGATTAGTGTGCTTCTGGGAATTTACCCATTCTATATTATCTAATGTGTTAGCATATTAGATATTAGATGTGCCATATTAGATATTCATAACAATCTTAAATTCTTTGAATTGTATTAATATGTTACAATATTTCCTGTTTCATTTATATTTTTATTGAGTCATCATAATCGTTGGTAGAATTCTTCAGAGAAGCTGTATAGTTCTGGAATTTTCTATTTGTGAGGTTTTGATTATTCAGTCTTTTTACTAGGTAAGGTCTGTTTTCCTATTTCACATAGCTCTGCTATTTTGATTTTTTTGTGGTGACATGTTTTGATTCCTTTCTCATTTATTTTGATGTGTACTCTAAGGGTAGTTTTAATTTCATTATTATACACAACATCTTAAAGATATAATAATCTAATTTAAATGGATAACAACTAAACTTCAATTGTATACAAATGTCCTTGTTATTTCCAACCTCTCAATTTGTTTTTCATGACAAAAATATTTTTGTATTACAAACTACTGACACATTTGTGGTTATTTTGTACCACATATTTTCAATTTTATACCTCAATTTAAAATGACTTTTCTTCAAATAAGTTTTCTGTTCCTTTCTCTTTCTAGAACTTGCAATAAAGCATATATTGATCTGGTTGATGGTGACCCACAGAACCCACAAAGTAAAGGTTTGTTCACTTTTTCTTCATTCTTTTTTCTTTATTTCTTTGATCAAATTTCCAATGAAGTATCTTACAGTGCCAATTCTTTCTTCTGCATAAAGGAGTTTCTGACTGAACTGTGAAGATTTTTAATTTAGCTATATTATTCTTCATAGTCATAAAAATTTCTTTTTATAACAAGTTTTCTTGCCTTGTTTCTATAATTTCATTTTATTCATACACGACTTTCCTGATTTCCTTTACTTGACTCTGTTCTTTTTGGATCACTGAGCATTTTTTAGACAGTTACTTTGACTTTTTCATACTGATTCATGTATATTCTTATATAATGGGCCTTACTTGTTGAAGATATACTGTGCTCCTTTGAGTGTATATTTCCCTATTTCTTTTTATTCATTTATGGTCAGTTGTTTAGATCTGAATGTTTGAAAAAGAACAGCTATCTTTCCTAGGCTCTACAGACTGGAATTTTAGAAGTGAAGCCAATCAGCCAGACTAAAACTTATGGAGCCTCGCAAAAATTTCTGGGATATTTTCTCCAGGCTATGTGCAAATTTCTAAATTACAGAGGTTTGTTCTTCCAGACAGCATATAATCCCTATGATGCCTGTGTGTAGCACGGTACTCTCTCATTCAGTAACCAGTCCCAGTGCTTACCTTTTATCTTATCCACACTCAACCACATCATTTATTTTAGCACTCTGAATATGAAAAGAAAAATCAGTCCCTCATCTACCCCCTAGAATGTCAGAAGTTGCAATTACTTTCAGTTTTCCTAATCCCCCTCAGTAAAGCTAAGAGTAAGGAATTTTCTGCTAATCATACTAATGTGCCAGGAAAGGGTAAAGACCATGAAAAGCAAATGTAATAAAATTTCTTACCTGTTTCAATGTAGCTCTTCTTGACTTTGTGCTTGCCAAAGGAATAGCAACCACTTAATTTGTTTCTGAGATTCTCACAAAAGCTATTTGGTGTATATATTTTTGTTGCATCAATGTCAACAAGGGGGAGTGAGGACCTAGGCTTCCTATTTAATCATACTGCAAATATCACTCCAAAATTATGTATCCATATAACAACCAAAATGATGTAACTTTTGGTATTCTGAGTTGAGTAAGTTTATTACTTCCTGAAATATGGTATTGAACTTACCTTTTCAAATCATTTGTAGCAGGTAAACTAATACTGCTAATTATGAACATTTAGTAATGAAAGTTCCCCAAGGACAAGGTGCATTGTTGTATTATAACTGTTATCAAGCTCACTATTTCATACATAATGATAATTATCATGTAAAAGTTCTTAATGACTGTCCTACTATGATTAAAGAACACTACCTAGAGAACAAAGGTCACTTTTATCGTTAAGAACTTTATTCTTCGTAAAAGCTATTCCTAATCTTTATATACCCAAACTCCACTTTTTAAGGAGCTAATACTAAATCTCCAATATAACTGATTCTTTGTACTTCGTTTCTCATCTTAAAAAAAATAAGGCAAACTCAAGTTCATATTTTATTCAGATTTCTTTAGTTTTCATGTATTTCTTTTTTGTTTGTTTTAATATAACACATTACATTTAGTCATCAAGTCTCCTTAGGCTCATCTTGAGTTAAAAAGTTTCTCAAACTTTTCTTATTTTAATGACCCTGATAGTTTTGAAGAATATCAGTCATTTTGTAGTGTCCCTCTCAACTGATATACTTTGGATGGTTTTCTCAAGATTAGACTAAGGTTTTGAAGAAGAAAATTAGAGAGGTAAGGGGTCATTCTCATGACATCATTATGAAGGATACAGGCTATTTATTAAATGGAGACATACCATTATTGTTGTTAAAATCGACCATAGGCTGAGGTAGTGTTTGTTTGATTTCTCCTTCCCATATTATACTTTTGAGAAGGTAGTAACTAGGGCATTATCTTTTGAGGAAACTTAGTTTGTTATCTTTTTATGGTACAATTAAATTTGTTGCCTTATCTATTTCTACAAACTGAAAGTTTGGTTTAAATTTAAGTTATATAGTGGATGTATACCACACAGGTCATGATATCAGATTGACCCATATACTGTCTACAGCCATACCACCCAAAATGTGCCTGATCTCATCAGATTGACCCATATCAGCAGTCATTTGGTTAGGATAATAATAACAGAGCTCTTCATTATAAACAGGTATTTTTTTTTCTTTGCAATTGGCAAGAAATCTGTGTAGTATACTTTGGCATCTTGTACTCTGCTCATATATAACTGTGCCATGAAAAATAATATATAAAACTGATGGTCTCAAACTTCTCCAATGCTCTTGTTCACTTCACAGTAGTTATTTTCACTTCACAGTAGTTATTCATCTATTTGTTATTTTGACAACATCTACTGAAGACCTATTAAGTTCTACGCAATATTTAACTGCTGGGGTTACAGAGTGAAAAAACTGAGCTCTGCCCTCCAGATTCATAGCCCAGTGACAGAGAAAAGCAATCACAACTTTCAATAAAGTATAATCAGTTTACATTGGTGATGAACGCAATTGATTATTTTGATGATTTTTATGATAATAATTCACCATACTAGCACTCATATATTAAGGTTTTCAATAGCAAATGTTGAAACAAAGAGGTTGCAATGTAAAGCTCATTTAACTAGCTCCTTTTATCTCTAAATTCAGTTGATCTCTCCATCTCTAGTTAATTCTAATTGTCTTCACTGTGAGTCTTGCTGAGCTACTGTAAAAACATAAAAGTCTCTGGAGGGCAGTACAACTTAAAGGAATAACTGTGGAGGAGTCAGAGCATAAAAAGGTTGAATTCAAATATCTATCTCCATTTAATAGGCATGTTACAAACCTGTGGCCTAGCATACATTAAGATGTAGCTCCTCTGAGCCAAGATTCCTATAAGCTATAGAAAATACCTACCTCCAAGAGTTTCTATAGAATTAAACAATATAACATATGAAGTACTCAGTGGAATTCCCAAGTTCCTGCCATGTAGTAAATATTTAATAAATGGTGCTTCTCTTGATGAGCAATACAAAGTACAAAATATGAATACAAGAAAATCAATTGATCTTTTGCTCTTATGTGTTTTTTCATTAGTAATGAAGTATTAAATGCATAAACCCAAAATATTACCGTGACACTAGCACAAGTATATACTTGTTTTTCACTAGAATAAGAGAAGCTGGTAAGTCTCAAAACAATGGTTTGCAAATTCTCACCTATACCCCCACCTGCTGGCTGGCCACAAACTTCTCATGTGTGTCCTTAATAAGGGACAGGTGGAGAGGGGAACAGATGCCCATAGAAAGATATCTAATATGGGGTTACATTTTAAAAGCATAAAGTTACTTCAGTAATCTTAGAGGCAGAAACTCAGCAAAAGGGTCTGTGCCTTACAGAAACAGAACACATATCACCTTTCTGCTCAGCCAGTTCCCACAGGTCCTGAGCTGCAGCCCGAGACAATGTCATAGGATATTCCACAAGGACATGTTTACCAGCATTAAGGAACTGCCTTTGGAAAAAAAGAGATAAATACACAAAAAATACAGTTCAAATAGGCTAAACTGCCCTGAGACACATAATTATATAAGTACACAAAAGTCTCTGAATATAAATGAATATGAAGGAATGCAGATGACAGTCTTGGTTGGAGGAAGAATTGTACTTCACATTATTATTTTGTACAAATGGAAATAATAACTTTCTATTTATATGTGAATTTGAACTTTCATATTCACTTATTCAACTAGTTAACTATAAGTTTCTATGGAGGAGAAATAAAGATGCATTAACAGGGATATTGCCTGTTATCACAAGATAGCTATAAAGATTATAAAGTTTATGGCAGCTAGCTCTGCCTGAGGCAGACTGAAAAGAGTTCGCTATCAATATAACTGAATTATGATCTACAAGTATATATATACTTATAACATATCAATATATCTGAACTGTGTTTGAAGTACAAGGAGGCATTTTCCAGGTGCAATATGATGTGAGTATCTCACTTTGAGCAGTATATGTAGTGGATTATGTGCTTTCTAAGGCTTTGTCCCTTTGGATAATGGTGAAAATTTCAGCACAGCAAGGGACTGAGATAAAGGGAGTAGAGAAGAAAGAGACCCCCAAAGTAGCCAGGAATCTGACTATGAAGGAACTAAAGTGAGTTAGAAGTTTGATTTGACTTGATTCTCTAGATACATAAGGGCATAAACAGTTATATGAATGGGAAATAAAGAAAATACACTCTGGTGCCAAAGAGATTAAAAGAAATCAAGGAAATCTGTTTCTGTCCACACTTGAATTGGAGTGATACCGAGGGAGCAGTTTACTCCTAGAGAACAGCATGGCAGTGTCGACTATATTTGAATGTAAAGAACATAGAAGGGAAGCTGAGACCCAGGGAGGCTGATGGCACTGTCTTGTTCATTCCCTGGGGCTCCTTCTAGGTTTAGTCTCACCAAAACACTTGAGAGCTTTCAATTTTACATTCAAAGATGGTGTGGAGGGTCATTTCACTTCTCTTGTTCTACGATGTGATTTCCCACTTTCTGGTTACTTACTTATCTCATTGCAAAAACACTTTATATTAAAGGCACTCAGAAATATTCATGACATTGTAAGAATAAAAGATAAATGTTAGAAGCCTATCCAAACTTAGGAAAGGACTATGAAAATATGCCAAGATACAGAAAAGACACTGGCTCTCTATTTTTGGTTAGCTGATAAGAAAAAGATGAGCATTGTTCAAACTACGCTCAATATAGTTTTTCTATTTATTTTCAAAGAAATAAAACACTTGGGTCCCCCTTGGTGGTTCAGGGATTTAAAGTCTCAACACAATCAAACTATCCCAGCCATGAGATCAATCCCCCTGCCAGGGAGCTAACCCTCATGATGTAGCAGACCTCTTTTGTCTCACCTACTTTTCCCTTTAGTAGGGTATTTCAATAGATTCACCTGTTCTGCTCCCCATTCTGTCTCTGGTGAATTCTCTCAGCCCCCACACCTCTGGCCTACATCCCGTTCTAAAAAATCTTTTAAAAAATATATAAATCTAATAAAAAGAAATCTTAAAAAAAACACTTTAAATCTTGGTGTTTTATAAGGTACAAAATAAGCATACTTTCTCATATATTTATGACCAACAGTGAGCTTTTTAACACACTGACAGTATTAAAGATCATGAGTTGTTTATCCTTTTTGTTACTAAGAGTCCGTTACAATGTATCAGTGAACATATACTTTTTACAGTCCTGCACTGTAAAGTCAGGCTAGCTTCTTTGAAAACCCACCTGATGTAGTTCTCATGGCTGGAGCTTTCACTGCAGATATAAGCAACCTCAACCTCTTGGCTAGAAAGAGCATCTTCCAAAGAAATCTGCTGAACTTCATCAATTCTTGTGAGTTCTCGTCTATTTGAAAATAATAAAGAAATGGAATTCAAAAGCAAGCAAAAGAGCAAATAAATATGCAAAATCCTCCTAACAATGCCTTGATGAGCAGCTTTTGGAAATGAAGAAATTAATTTCCTCGCTCCAACTTCTGTGGCATTTTCTCATGGAATGAAACAAAATAAGTTTGAAGACAAAATTGTTGGAGTGCTAAGGCTAAAACTAACAGCCTGCATGTTTTGGGATGGGAGTCTCTGAATTATTTCATCTTTAAAGTAAAAAGAAGAAATTTTTTCTCATGCAAAGTGATCTCATGCCAGCTCCATGCACTTTGGATCAATTGCTATGACTACAAACTTAATCCAAATCTAATACTAACTTTGAGGCTTGAAGCTCTTTTACAAATGTCACAGCCTTGTGGACAGCTGAGCAGAAGGGAGGTATATTGTTTCCTTTAAAGTAAAGGAAATAATACCCAGAAGGCAGTGACTGCTATGACTAAACATTAGCAGAGGCAGGGCAGAAACCTTAGAACATCAGGTTTTTAGTGAGGAAATTCTGCTTGAGAAGAGGCAGAGTCCAGGCCAGCTGCATAGTGTCCTATTGTAGAGGCAGGGGCGGCAGTACAGTCCTTTAAAGATCAGCATTCATACTGGAATCTGAGGCAGCCAATAGGAACTCTCAGTCAACTGAGCGCTCCATCCAAGCTTAGCAGACTGAGGACATTTGGGGAGGTGTAGCCACCAAAAGATGTTATGGTAGGTCTCTCTGTATGGGGGCCTCAGTTTAAACTGCTTGATTTGACCAATACTTAGTGTTTGGCTATTGTGTGTTAGGCATTGTAGGAACATGGAGAACAAATTAAAAGTCCTCTACTTCTAATGAGTTTGCACTATAATAGAGGAAAAGACACACATACACATATATAACAACAACATAAGACTAATATGAGAAGGGCTGTGGTGAGGAATACAGGTGGGAGATTAAGAGAAGACATACAGTATACGGTTTCAGAAAGGTTTCCTGTGGAGAGGGGAGGTCTTAGTAGGTAAGTTAAGAAGGGGACCAGTATGTATATGACAGGGTATATAGAAAGGGGGTATGACCTGGCTATCTTCCCACATGAGCTGGGTAGGTTAGGAGTTCCTACTGTAATGGCAGTCAGCTGGCAGAGGATTGGGGCTGCAAGAAAAAGGACAGATCTGGCTTCACTTAGTCCTATGTGTCATGCTTGATCCCAGCTTCAGGTAGGGGTTAAGCAGGAGATACAGAACTGACTACTAATCATTTTGTGAGACCAGGACAGATTCCCAACAATTCTGGGTCTCCCTTCTTGTAAGGTTAACCAGGCTTTGAGATACGTCAACTGGAAGACAATAAATAAATAAACCTACATAGACAATCAAATGGTTGTTTATGCTTTGTGGACTTATTTGATTTCTCTAAAGCACTAGAAAGTAGAGATGTCTACACTCACCTGTCCTCAGCCAACACAACGACTACATTTAGTTAACAATTATCATCAATAAATATATCACAGTGTTAGTTTGGCAAAGGGTACAGGTGTAAGGAAAAAGCGGTGTAAGAAGAACTGAGAATAAGAGAGGAAAAAAGAAAAAGAGTGGTAAGTCTGGATTTATTGCGTCAAAGATGGTAAAAGAATTTTTAGAAAAATTTTTTCTTAAATTTTAACCAAATTTCTTAAATTTTATATGCTTACAACATTCTTCATTTTGTACAATTTTACATCTTGGTTGTCATCCCCGTGGACTTCCTACTACCAATTCACCATGTGCCATCACCATAGTCTTATGTGCTCTTCCTGCCCCAGTTTTTATCCTTTTCCTCTCTCCACCCTCTGGTTTATTGTTATTTGTTGATTTTCATTTTTTTTTAAAGATTTATTTATTTGTACAGAACTGGGGTACAGGCCAAAGATGCGGAGGGTGAGAGGATTCACCAGAGAAAGAGTGGGGTGCAGAACAGGCAGATCGACTGCTGAGGGGAGCAGTGGGCAGGTCAGGAGAGGTCTGCCTCACCATGTGGTCGCCTCCGGGGCAGGGGGGAATCGAACTCATGCAGAAGTGGCTTAAGCTTCTTTGTGCTGTGCTTTAACCCACTGCGCCACCTGGGAGGGCCTGATTTTCATTTTAACTTTATTATAATTGCTTTTTTTTTTCTTCTTCTGATTCTTTACATTCCTGCAATGAGTGAAACCATCTGGTGTTTTTCCTTCTGACTTATTTACTAAGCATAATCCCCTCTAGCTCCATCCACGTTAATGCAAATGGCATGATTTTATCTTTTTGACTGTTGAGTAATATTCTATTGGGTATATGATCTTCTTGATCTAGTTGTCTACTTTTGGGCATTTGGATTGATTCCACATCTTCCTTATTATAAAAAGTGCAGCAATAAACATGGGGGTGCAGATGTCCTTTTGAATTAACGTTTTTGTGCCCTTTGGGTAGATACCTAAGAGTGGGATTGCTGCTGAAGCAGGCAGGTTTCTGCCACAGGTAAAATAATTTTTAAAGAAAAGCAGGTTTAAAAATTATCAAATGGAAAAGAACACATAGTGTTTAAATGATGGGCACTGAAATCAAATGTACTGCATTCAAACACAGTTCTTAGATTTTTTTCAAAAGTATGACAACATTTAAATATCTCAACTTCTCTGTAGTTCAGCTTCAACACATGTAAAATGGTGTTGATAATAGTATCCACGTCAAATAGTTGGTAAGTTCTGTAAAGCCCAGGGCTACCACATGGATAGCTGTTCTAACTGATGCAGCAAATAAATGGCACATGTGAAATATTTCAAGTCAATCCACTATGTGCTTACTGCATCCCTTTGGTAATAGGCCCTTTGCTCATCTTTAATGAGCAGTCTTTGCCTTCACAGTCCCCTCTAGGTTGACTTGTTGTACACCCCAAGTGCAGGCCCATCACTCTGTAGTTCCCAGAACCACTAAATTTGAGATCTTGTGTATCTGATCCTTAGCACAGGTCTCTGGAAAGATCCCAGGGTTGGCTCATACTCTCCTAGGTCTGGAAAATCTCCACGTCCCACAGCATAATCCATATTACCATTTCCCACAAATCACCTGGACACAAAGCCAATTAGGTTCAGGAACGCCGAAGAAGCATGTGGATTCCGCAAATCCCTCATCCGCACAGAGCCAGCTCTGCCAACGCCAACCACCACCACACCAAACTTCCTCTCGGGCTGAAACATACAGGACCAAGATGGAGTTAAAAACAGTCTAGGAATCCAGAAAACAATAGCAAAGCAAAGACAAATGGGCAGGCCATTCAGGGTCTAAAAAACAAAGAATGTCACTAACCCCGATCACACAAGAAACTGAGGCATGTCAGGTCGAATGAGACACTTCCTGAAAAGGGACTTGAGTAGAGAAGCTTTACCCAAAAGAGTATTTCTGCAGGTGCTCTGACTTATATCACTAACAGAAAAGGGCTTTTTTATTTAGCTCTCCAACTTCTACTTCTCCAGTGACTTAGCTCCCCAGCTTCTGCTACCTCTTCAAGTCTCATGTAAGCCATGATCCGGTACCCCTGTACACCCTGAACTCCTTGAGTCTCAGGTGATTCTGATACAGATTCCACAGCTATTTAGTAAGATGTTAGCAGACAGATCAAATGGGGTCAACCATAAGTTGTCATCTTTCTCAGACTCCTATGGTCTTCTAAGTATCAATCAATCAATGACAGTATCAAGTAACTGTCATTACTTATTATATAGATATACTGCTGGAAGTTGTATGTAAATGGGATTTACAGTAAAAACTCAAATCAACATTTTAAAAGTGACAGAGTAACTAAATAAAATTCAAACAGAACTATGTTACAACCCTTAAACCCAGATCTTATAGGATGTCTCTGAGCATAGAAACACAAATGACATTTGACTCAGACCTTACCATTGATATACACTTAATATTTTCTACTAGTTCTGCCCCTCTTCCTATGTCTGTTGTTATAGTCTTAGTCCAGTATTTCTTTCTGACAATGTAATAAATCATTAACTGCTCTTACTGTTTTGAGCTTCCCTCTTACAATAAGCCATTTATGGTCCAGCCAGAGTAGCTGTTTAAATGGAAATGAAGTCTTTTCCAGACTAAAGACCATCATTTTCCTGATGTTATGAATTAAATGTCTGTGACCTCCCTACACTCAATTTACATGCTGAAATCCCAGTGTGAGAGAATCAGGAGGTAGAGCCGTTGGGAGTTAATTAGGATTAGATGAGGTGAGGAGGTAGAAGCCTTCATGTTTAGAAGAGTTGTGAGAGAGCTTGCGTAGGACCACCACTCAAAGCTTGGTTAGGTTCTCTCTTTTTTCTTTCTTTCTTTCTTCTTTTTTTTTTTTTTTAAGATTTATATATTTATTCATATGGAACTGGGGTACAGGCCAGAGATGTGGA